GGCTGGAAGCCTGTATCTCCCTCTCCCCTTCACCCATTTTCCCATCCCTCCCCCATCCCTTTCTTTCTGGCGACCATCCACTTGTTTTCTAGTTGGATTTCACATATGAATGAAATCATACAGTATTTGTCTTTCTCAGTCTGACCTACTTCACTTAGCATAATACCCTCTAGGTCCATCCATGTTGTTGCAAATGACAAGATCTCACCCTCTTTATGGCTGCATAATATTCGTGTGTGTGTGTGTGTGTGTGTGTGCGTGTGTGTGATTTCTTTATCCATTCATCTATTGATGGACAGTTAGGTTGCTTCCATATCTTGACTGTTGAAAATAATGCTGCAATAAACATAAGGGTGTATATGTCTCTTTGAATTAGAGTTTTCATTTTCTTGCATAAACACCCAGTCGTGGAATTATTGGATCATAAGGTATTTCTATGTTTAATTTTTTGAGGACCGTCCATACTGTGGCTGCACCAGTTTGCACTCCCGCCAACAGTGCAAGAGGGCTCTCTTTTCTCTACCCTTGTCCATACTTTTATATCTTGTTTCATTTAAAAACATTTTTTAATATTTATTTTTTATTTTTTATAAACATATAATATATTTTTATCCCCAGGGGTACAGGTCTGTGAATCGCCAGGTTTACACACTTCACAGCACTCACCATAGCACATACCCTCCCCAATGTCCATAACCCTACCCCCCCTCTCCTAACCCCCCTCCCCCCCATCAACCCTTAGTTTGTTTTGTGAGATTAAGAGTCACCTCCCTGATATGAGGGAGAGGAGATAAAAACATTTTTTTTAATTGTAACCATTCAGACAGGTACCTCATCGTGGTTTTGGTTTGCATTTCCCTACTGATGTTGATGCTGCTCGTCTTTTCATGTGTGGGTTGGCCACTGGTATATCTTCTTTGGAAGAACATCGATTCAGATCATCTGTCCATTTTTTAATTGGATTGTTTGTGTTTTTTTCTGGTGTTGGGTTGTATAAGTTCTTCATATACTTTGAGTATTAACTTCTTATCAGATATATCATTTGCAAATATTTTCTCCCATTTAGTAGGTTGCTTTTCTGTCTTGTTGATGGTTTCCTTTGCTGTGCAAAAACTCTTTGTTTTGATGTAGTCTCCATAGTTTATTTTAGCCTTTTACCTTTTGCCTTAGGAGGCATATCTAGAAAGATGCTGCTATGACTGATGTCAGGGAAATTACTGTCTGTGTTGTTTCCTAAGATTTTTATGGATTCAGGTCTCTTAGATAAGGAACAAGACAAGGATGTCCATTCCCACCACTTTTATTCAAATTGTCCTAGAAGTCCTAGCTACAGCAATCAGACAAGAAAAAGAAGTAAGAGACATCAAACTGGTAAGAAAGAAGTAATATTTTCACTATTTGCAGATGACATGATATTGCACATAGAAAACCCTAAAGACTCCACCAAAAACAAAAACAAAAACAAAAACAAAACAAAACAAAACAAAACAAAAAAACCCACCAAACTTGGGCGCCTGGGTGGCTCAGTGGGTTAAGCCTCTATCTTCAGCTCAGGTCATGGTCTCAGGGTCCTGGGATCGAGTCCCGCATCGGGCTCTCTGCTCAGCAGGGAGCCTGCTTCCCCTCTCTCTGCCTACTTGTGATCTCTCTCTGTCAAATAAATAAATGAAATCTTTTTAAAAATTTCTTTAAAAAACCCACCAAACCTACTAGAAGGAATAAATGAATTCAGAAAAGTTGCAGGATATAAAATTAACATCCAGAGATTGGTAGCATTTCTATATACATTAATAATGAAGTAGCAGAAAGAGAAAACTAAGAAAGCAATCCAATCAGAATTGCGCCAGAAAGAATAAAATACCTAGGAATAAATTTAACCAAGGAGGTGAAAGTCCTGTACACGGAAAACTGTAAAACAATGATGAAAGAAATTGAAGGAACGGAAAGGCATTCCACGCTTGTGGATGACAAGAATTGATATTGATAAAATGCTCATAGTACCCAAAGCAATCTACAGACTCAACGTGATCCCTATCAAAATATCAAAGCATTTTTCACAGAACCAGAACAAATAATACTAAAATTTAAATGGAACCACAAAGACCCCAAAATAGCCAAAGCAACAAAATCTTCTATCAGGCATAAGCACGGCCCTGATCCATTTCCCCTCTACCCCGAAAGGCAACCATAACCTGGTGCAAGTCCATTTTTTTTCTTTTTTTTTTAAGATTCTTTTTTTTTTTTTAAATAATTTGAGAGAGCAAGTACGCCTGAACACATGAGCAGGGGAGAGGCAGAGGGAGAGGGAGAAGCAGGCTCTCCACTGAGCAGGGAGCCCAATACAGGACTCGATCCCAGGACCCTGAGATCATGATCTGAGCTGAAGGCAGACGTTTAACCCACTAAGCCAGCCAGGCTCCTGGAAATTTTCCTTTTTAAACACTGCTGTAAACTACACATAACATGAGGGCGCCTGGGTGGCTCAGTGGGTTAAGCATCTGCCTTCAGCTCAGGTCATGATCCCAGGGTCTTGGGATCAAGCCCCATATCAGGCACCCTGCTCATCGGGGAGCCTGCTTCTCCCTCTATCTCTGCCTGCCGCTCTGCCTACTTGTGATCTCTCTCTCTCTCTCTCTCTCTGTCAAATAAATAAATAAATAAATAAATAAATCTTAAAAAAAAAAAAAAAACTACACAGAACGTGCACCATCTCAGCCATGTTTAAATGCATGGGTCCATGACGCTAAGTACATTTACCCCGTTGGGCAGCCACCACCACCGTCCACAGATCTCCTCGAGCTGCACAGCTAGAACTCTGTGCCCATCAAATCACGCCTCCTCCTCCCCTCCCACAACCCCCGGTTCCACCGTCCATCTTCTGTCTCTATGAGTCTGACTGCTCTATGGACCTCATTGAAGGGACTCGTACGGTATTTGTCTTTTTGTGTCTGACTCATTTTGTTGAACATAATGTCCTTGAGGGTCACCCCCATTGTGGCAGGTGTCAGAATGCCTTTCCTTCCAGAGGCTGAATAATATTCCATTGTGTGTATGGACCACATTTTGTTTGTCCGTTTATTCGTCAATGGATACTTGGGTTGTCTCTACCTCATCTACTGCGAACGGATGGAGAAGTATCTCTTTAAGACTCTACTTTCAATCCTTCTGAATATACGCTCAGAAGTGGAATTGCTAGACGGTGATTAAGTTAATTCCGTTTTTTGAGCTGTAGTGAAGCCCCAGAGTCAGGGGTTGTGACTTTGCTTTCTGGTGCCCCACGGAAGACATGCACCTGCTTCTTTTCCAGTTCCTGTAATTGTATCAACATTTCTTTTTTTTTTTTTTAAGATTTTATTTATTTGTCAGAGAGAGAGAGAGGGAGAGAGAGCAAGCACAGGCAGACAGAATGGCAGGCAGAGGCAGAGGGAGAAGCAGGCTCCCTGATGAGCAAGGAGCCCGATGTGGGACTCGATCCCAGGACACTGGGATCATGACCTGAGCCGAAGGCAGCTGCTTAACCAACTGAGCCACCCAGGCGTCCCCCTGTATCAACATTTCTTGTCCTACATTTGCTCCTTCCTCATTCCCTTTCTTCCTTCTTAGCTTTTGCCCTCCTAATGAAGCCCTTTAATGTCTTTCAGTGAGGTTTTGGGAAGAGATATGTCTGCCCCATCTGCATGGTTCTGTGGAAGTTCTTGTATCTGTCCCTAAATTCAGCAGTCCCAGATTCTAAGCTTTACAAGAATTCACTTCTTTTTTAAACTTAGAGTTTTTTCATCCCACAGCACCTCACTTAAAATTTCTAAAGGCTTAAATTTCAATAACATCTAAAAGGGTAAAATTAACTTATCAGTTTCAGCCAATTTATAAAGCACATATAAGCAAAAGGAACAAAAAAATATCGAGCACGATTCTACTACTCAGAGAAAAACACTTTAAATAAACTAGATTTACCTTCTAGATTTTTCCACGTGCACATCAGCCCCTGCCCGTCGCCTGGGTCCACTGTCTGGGTTGTCTCTCACTGTCTACACCTCCACCAGATGCAGAACACAGCTCCTCGAGTTCTCCTGAAGAGCCTCCTTCCACCCGAGATCTAATGACAGGGGATTTCCAGAAGAGATTTCACGGAGGAGATAGTTCCCATCGTGTCCCCACGACAAACCACTTACAAACCACCGCAGACATTTCTCTTCTTCAATTTCCTTTTTTGCCATGCTGCCTGCCAGTGAGGGTTCTTCTGTCTTACCTTCTTTTTATAGGGCCTGTTGCCACATTCTCCTGGATCCCCACCGCTCCCTGATGCCCTATGACTTCCCACCTCTTTGCCCTCAGCTCTGACCCCATTCCTGCCCTCAGCGTCCCTGGGACATTACCCAGAAGTTGTGCACGTCACTTCGCTCACATCCTGTGACCAAAAGGGCCCCCGGTTTCCTGAGGGAGAGAATTATTGTTTTTTTTTTTTTTTTTTAAGATTTATTTGAAGGGGTGGGCAGAGGAAGAGGGAGAGAGAGAATCAGACTCCCCACTGAGTGCAGAGCCCAACACAGGGCTCCATCTCACAACCCTGAGATCACAACCTGAGCTGCACCCAAGAGTGAGATGCCCAACTCACTCAGCCACCCAGGGCCCCGAGAGAAATGTGGTTCTTACTCTGGATCCCTGGGAGCCCAGGTATTTGCTGTCACTGTGCAGAAGGGGATGATGGTGATTGGGGTCCCACCGGCCCCATCTCCCATGTTTTGCATATTCATGGCTATGCCCTAGAAGTGGGTGACTGACTTCTGTGCTGTTGGGAGGACTCAGTGTGTCAAACCTGTGGGAAGTGGCTTGAGAGCGTGTTGCAACAGTCATTTCCGGATAGAGCCTAGAAGACAGAAACGGGGTGTGCAGAGTGGAGGATTGAAACACCAGGGGCAAAGCTGTTCCTGTACGTCCTGGAGTCAAGACAACATCTTGGCTTCTCACCGACAAAAAGACTGACGGAAGATCCTTGGAAGAGGCTTGTGGGTGCCGCCATGATGCCCCAGCTGCTGGCTCTGCTCTGCACTGGTATGTCGTCCGGGAGGGCGGCTACTGGAGGGGTAGGGCTGGGCTGCAGTAGCAGCTGGAGTTGGTGGGGCTTGTGGGGTGGGTAATGGTGTGGGGTGAATAAACACAGACTAGAACCTTCCATTCCCTGAATGCAAATTAGGTGCAAGGGGGGGTGTTGGGTGCTTTACACACATTCTCCCATTTCTCCAAACTCAGTCATCCCTGAACTTCCCCCATGACATTTTCCTCTATGTACGTGACCGCTGTATTCTTTCCCACGTGATCTTCCTCTTCAAATTTCCCAGGTTTTTATATTATTATTTTTGTACTCAACTCTATTTTAAAAGAAAACCTGTAAAATACTTCTGTTAGTGGAAAATCAGTGTCCCTCATCAAAAACGGACCCTGACCACCTCTGGTCCATGGTTTCCCGGGTCCTGTTTCTGAGAGGAGGCAGTGATTCCGGGAAGCCAGCTTCCAGCAAGCAGCCGGCTGTGATATTCTTCCATGGGATCCGAGAGAGAACCAAGAACAGAGAAGAGAGACTTTCTCACACAGGCTCAGTGACCCTTCCTCTCCCGTCATTGTATGACCTGAAGTCACCTTCCATCTCTTAGAAAAAGTCTCCCAAATAGTTCTCTTGACCATACTGCATTCAAGGAATCTGATAGTCACAGCTGACGTATGTGCCAGGGTCACTCTTGTTCTAAGCAGAGAAGGTGAATTCAAATTCTGGTCTGCACAGTGCCAAAGACCATAGTTTTCCACTGGTCCATATGAAGGAACCAAAAAGGTCCTATTTTGGGGACATGGGGGTGGAAATGTCCGGAGGGTGGATGAACGAAGTCATGATTAGAAAAACCTCAAGAAAGTAAATGAACCGTGGATCCAGTGATCTTAGTGGGTGCTGGCAACCTTCTCCTGTAGAGGGCCTCATAGACAGGCTCTGTGGTTTGCGTGGTCTTTGTTACTTACCATCCAACACCTGTCAGGATGGCTCTCACCAAGAAGCCATGAGACAAGACATGTTGGTAAGGAAGTGGGGAATAGGGACGCGTGCACTGGTGGTGGGGATGAAAACTGGTGCAGCCCCTGCAGAAGACAGTATGGAGGTTCCTCAAAAAGTTCAAAGTGGGGGTGCCTGGGTGGCTCAGTTGGTTGGGGACCTGACTTGTGATTTTGGCTCAGGTCATGATCCCAGGGTCATGAGACTGAGCCCCAGGTCAGGTCCTCACTGAGCGCAGAGCTTGCTTTGGATTCTCTCTCTCCCTCTGCCCCTCCCCTATGTGCTCATGCTGTCTCTCTCTTTCTAATAATAATTTTTTAAAAAGCTAAAAGTAGAACTGCCATATGATCATCAGCCCCACTTTGGGGTTATATATCTAAAGGAAATGGAAAGAGGAAATTGAAGGGAGGTCTGTCCCCATGTTCACTGCAGCGTTATTCACAGCAGCCAAGACATGGAAATGACCTCAGTGTCCATCCACGGACAGACGGTTACAGAAGATGTGGTCTGTATGTAAAATGGGATATTATTCAGCCATGAGGAGGAAGGAAATCCTGCCATTTGTGACAACATGGATGGACCTTGAGGGTGTGGCCTGAAGTGAAACAAGGCAGGCAGGGAAAGACAAATACTGTATGATCTCACTTAGGATCAGTTTGGTCTAGATCTGAAAGTAAGGCCACCAGAGGGGAAAGGTGGGGACATGCACCCCACCCTTCCAGGTAATACCAATCTTAGATTTTTGAGATTGACTCTGGGGCACCAAAGAGAGGACTCATGGCCAAACCTAACATCAGGAATGCATTTAGGCCATTCCCCAGGGGCAGACAGAAGCTTCTCCACACAAAGGACTGAGTTCTCAGCAGCTAGTTGTCCCTTCTCATAGGGCAGGGATCTAACCACCCCTTTCCCCCACCCTCAGTTGACTCAGATGGTTATGCTGCTGCGTTCAGAGAGAAATTTGAGAACTCATCATTTCTGGAACTTACCACGTAAGGAAATGCAAGGTGGCGGGTGGAACTGAAGTTGCTTATCAGCTGGTCTTAAAGGAGGAGGCTTCTTCCGGATTATCTGGGTGGTCACAGTGTAACCACAGGGTCCCTAGAGCAGGGAAAGAGGCAGAAGAGGGTGTCAATGCACCAACCACTGCTACTTGTAGAGGCAGAGGCAGAGGGCGCCACCAAGAGGTGTGGGCATCTCTAGAAGCTGGAGAAGGCCAGGAAATGGGTTGTCATCTAGAACCCCCAGAAGGAATGCAGCCCTGAAGTGGTTGGAGCCAGTGGGACCTGTGTTGTTGGCTTTCCTAACCCATGGAACAGCAAGATGAGAAATCCATGTTTTCACAAGCCACTAAACTTGTGACAACTTGAGACGCCAGCAGCCCCAGGAAATTAACCTAAGGGCAAACCAGCACTCATGCTAGATGGGTTCTCTGGCAGGAGGCTGGGACCGCTGCTGAGTGTGATGACAGGGGTCCCTTCTCAGCGGCAGCCCCCGGGAGGCCCCGCGGGACGGGCTCCGGGAGAGTGCTCGTGTCTCATGGACGGTTCTCTTGCAGGGCTGTGTGCTGGCCAAGGAAGCAGGGGGACCAACGGTGAGATCCCTCAGACAGATCCTCCTTCTCCTTCACTCCAAACTCCCCGTATCTTCTCTTTCCTTCAAGGGGTTTCTCGGGAGCAGACAAGGGCACCAAACCCCATCCTGATCTCTGCTTCCTTCCAGAGTCCCTTCCCAAGCCCTCCCTCAGGGCCTGGCCCAGCTCGGTGATGCCTCACTGGAGTAACGTGACGCTGCAATGCCAGACTTCTACCAAGAATGCCAACTTTGTTCTCAGCAAGGGAAAAGTTCCTTTGGAGTCTGGGCAATCATGGATTTCCACAGATGGGCCGGCTGAATTTCACCTCACTGACCTACAATTCAGCAATGCTGGAAAGTACACCTGTGAGTACTACAGACGGGGGGCCCCGAGCACACGTTCACAGCCCAGTGACGTCCTCCTACTACTGGTGACAGGTGAGGAGGGTGCCTCGGAGGGACACAGGGTCTTGCAGGGACAGGTGTAGGGGAGGAACCGAGGGAGGGAGGGGGCAAGGCGAGACGGAGAGACACAGAACAGAAAGAGCCAGGGCTTGAAAGGGAAATCGCCTTCCCGCTGTCAGAGTGGAAGGAGGGTGAGACCAGGGATCTGTCACTTCCCCCACGTGGCGGGAGCCCCTGCCGGGAGAACAAGGGTAGGTGGGGGATGCAGGGCTTCTCCCCATGACCTTGGAGCCCTCCTTCTCTTCCAGGAAATTTTCCTAAACCTTCCCTGCAAGCCCACCAAAGGGGTGAGGTGACCGCAGGAGACACCGTGACCCTGATGCCAGACGGCAGCCAATGTTTACGAGACTATAATGTTTGCTCTACTGAAGGCGGGAGCAGCAGGGCCCGTTCAGCTCCAGGGTCCAGTAGAGAAGGAGACGGACTTCTCCCTCCAGAATGCGACAGCTGGTGACACCGGGAACTACAGCTGTGTGTACTTCCAGACCAGCGCTCCTTTCTGGGCCTCCAAGCCCAGCAATCATCTGGAGATCCGGGTGACAGGTGAGGTTTGTACTGCCGGGTGGACCGTACCTGGATTACCTGCCGCTGAGATGCTGGGACCTGAGGGAGTGCGGTGTGGACACAGTCTGTCTCCACGAGACTCCGCAGCTTGGAGAAATCTTGAGGAAGAACCAAGGGAGGGCCGGGATTCTGCAGAACAGTATAGAGGATCTTCTGCCAAGACAGAGCACAGAAGGTGGAGAATCACATAAGAGGAGGCTGGGTGGGGGCTTCCCACTGTAGGTGGCCACATGTGCTCTGGGTGAGGGGGAGCAGCCTTCGGGGTGAGGGGAGATCTGCAGTAACTGACCCCCCCTACGCAAATAAGATGTAGCCACAAAACCATCACACATCTCCTGGGCAGGGCACAATTCATTTAGACTAAAGTGTGAATGACACCTCCTGGGGTTATGTGGGTGGAGATTCTAGCAAAAAGGCAGAGGAGGAGGGAGAGAATAACAGAGCCCAGGAGCATCTTCTTGAGAAGGACTCGCAGACTCCAGGAAGATCTGTGTTCCATTTTCATTGGGACTCCAGCACTCCTGCCTTTTAGCTTAGCTGAGTCGAGCTTTTCTCTTCCTGCCAAGCCCTTTCTTTCAAGACGCCTGATTTTTTACAAGTTATGGCAAAAGTGTATAATGTAACAGTTACCACCTTATTTTCAAGTGCACAGCTCAGTAGTAGTGCACCTACACCAGCTGCCTCCAGAAAGCCTTTCGTCTTGCAGAACTGAAACTCTGTCCCCATCAGACAGCCTCTCTGTACCCACCGGCCCCCAGCTCCTGGCTCCCACCATCCTACATTGTCTCAATGCATCTGACTAATCCATCACTGGGACCATATGCTGCTTGTCTTTCTGGGATTGGCCTTTCTCACTCCAAAATACATTCTCAAGGCTCACCCATACCGTAGCATGTAGCTAGATTTCCTTCCTTATTGAGGCTGAGAACATCCCATTTTAGGGACAGGCCACATTTCACTTACCTCGTCATCAGCTGATGGACATTTGGGTCCTTTCCACCTATTTGGCTACTGGCCTGTCACCTCCTGGCCACCAAGTGGCTATCAGTTCTTCCAGATGTATATGCAGAAATGGGATTGCTGGATCATAGGATGGTTCTCCCTTCATTGGGGACCCACCATCATACTGTTTTTCTGAGTGGCCACACGGTTCTACATTGCGACCGACAGTGCACAAGGATTCTGCTGGTTTGTTCAGGAGACGGATGATTCCTGACCCTTGTGCATGAGGACTATTTTTGATGACTGAGTTTGTCCAGGACGAGGGGAGAAAGAGAGACCATTAGGAACCAGGCTTCCTCCTGGATGGGGGCTGAGCTCCCTAGTCCTGAAAGGATGACCAGTCATATCAGCACAGGGCAGTGAACACAAGAGTTGTGTGTTCCACAGTTTCATGTTGAAATCCTAACCCCTAACGGGACAGCACTGGAGGCAGGGCCTTTGGGAGCTGTTTAGGTCATAAGTGTGGAGCCCTCATGATGGGTCTAGTGCCCTTATTAAAGGAGACCCCAGAAGCTCCCTTGTCCCCTTCTGCCACCCAGAAGAGCCCCGCTCCCACCCGTGGACCATGCTGGCACCCTGATCTCAGACTTCTAGTCTCCAGATCTGTGAGAGAAAGATGTCTCTCATTCACCTGCCCCGCTCCCAGCCTGTGGCATGCCATTAGAGCGGTCCAAAGGGACTAAGATGGCTAATGAGGGTGAGTGTCTGCTCAGCAAAGCTGTTTGCTACAGAATTACAGAGCCCTGGACAGAGCAAGAAAATTCCAAGGTCCCGATGCTGATCTGGAGACCACGGGCAGCGGCAGGTGAAGGAGTTTTCTCTCTACCCCAGGGTCAGGCCTCGGAGCCCAGGCAGGGAATTCCACGTGCCTAGGGACCCCTTCCCTGCATCTAAGACCCAGCTACTCTGTTGTCTTCTAGGTCAATGTGAAGGACATTCCCCCCCAGAGAGAAGTCAGGTAATCGGGAGAAAGGGAAGACCAGTCTAACAACCACAGCCACTTTACCAGGGACAGCACCTGCCACTTGGGTAGATGGCCCCCCTGTCTGGAAGGCTGTGGACCCCCTCTTGTTTTGCAAATAATTACAAGCCTTTGGATTTTAGCTCGTTAACAAGCTATCTGCCTACAGATTACTTATCCTCTGCCTCAGCTTCTGTCCCTGTTGAATGGGATTGATAGTAGCACGTACACAAGGGCCTCAGGGATGAGGTTTTGAGGAGTTAATTTACCTAACTCCTTCCTAAACTCCGTCTGTTGGACGGCAAGTGTCATCTAAGTCTTTCCCGTTACGGTCATTATGAACGCCCAGAATTTCTCTCTCTGCACGCCAGAATAGCTCTGCTCAGAGCCGCACTCCTAGTGGGAGACTTGCCAGGAAGCAGAGAATGTGTGTACCCCGCAAAAGCTGACGACAAGTATCTTCACCGTTACAATGACTCACAAATATCAGTGGAGAATTGCATGACCTCCTGAGGTCTTCCAGGGTCTAAAAAGGCCAACGGTGCCCGTCTGTGTCTCTAACTCAGCTCTGTCGCATGTGACAAGGCTAAGCACAGAGGAGATGGTCTTTTCAAGACACAACACTCAAAGAGACAAAACCGGAAGAAAAATATGGTAGGCTGGACCTGCTCTCTGCAGAAGGCAGAAATTTTAAATAATTTTGGGGTATTCAACGACTGGTGAATCACTTTTTTTGTTCTCTTCTTGCTCCTCTGAGTTTCTTGCGTGATGGTCATCCACAGGCTGCCCAGCCCGAGTACGTGAGCGACAGAGCGGCTCACCGGGAGGGACCCAGGATGCTGTCATCACGCCCACTCGCCACCCTTTCCTGTTCCTTCAGCCCCCATTCAAACCCTGACAATCGTCGCCAAGGGCAACAGGCTGAGGAAGACAGGAGGGTGGGGAGCGGGGTGTTTGGCACGGAGATGACTGGATGCAGGTGCAGGGACAGATTACTGCAAATGGGGCCCAAGAGTTTCCCTCTGGGATTCGCCAGAGCCTTTCATGAGCCCTTTTGGCATTTCTGGTGGTCACCGCTGGGGATGGGGGATAGAGCATGCTCCCCGCATCTAGGAGGTTGAGACCGTGGAAGCCGCAAAACATCCCGGGATGCCCAGGACCCCTCTCCACCAAGAGCCCCTGAAAATTGATGGCGCCCAAGTCGAGCAACCCTGCTCCAGACCCTCTGTCTGATCTCCAGCTAGACTCCAGAGTGCCTGCAGGGATTTTGAGGGTGGAGACCACACTCTCCTCCAATTCCTGAAGCCTCTGATTACTTAAACTATGTGCCCCAGACCAGCAGTTTTTCCAGAAACCACCTACCAGAATACTGGCATTGTTGCCTTCCTTCAAAGTCACTTGTGGTGTTCTAGGTTTTTTTTCCCTTTTATTCCAAACTATGGTTTGTCTCCAGTTTCCCAGCGATTTCTTCAGAGCCAGACCCTAGGGTCCTGATGGTTTGTGGGGTTTACTCACCATCTCTGAAGCTGGAATGAGATCAGTGATGTCTCTGGTTTGGAGAGAGCAGAAGGCAGCTGGCAGGGGCAGGAGGAGAGAGTGAGTAGACAGGAGGGGGTTGAGTCCAACTGTCCTGACGGTGTGGCTCCGTAGGACAGAGGTGAAGAGCTGCGGGGGATACCACCCGGAACAGAGGACACTGTGGCCCGGAGTGAGCACACATCCCAGGCCTGCTGCCTTCTTTGGAGCACAAGGCTGGGGGAGGAGGTGGGGTCTTCAGATGGTCTCAGGGATGTGCTGCTTCTGCTTTGGTCCACTCGCAGCTAGCACAGCTGTGGATGGTGAAGTCAATGAAGAGCAACGTGGTGAGTATCATCACATTAGCGGGAGTCCCACCCCTGGCTCTGCTACTCACTAGCTGTGCGACCCCAGGCAACTCCTGTGGCCGGCAGGGTAGACACATGGGAGAGAGCTGATGTTGAGTCTGGGGGCAGCTGGAAGCAGAATTCCTTCACCCTCAAAGGAGATCGGTCTTTCTCTTCGGACTTTCAACTGATTGGATGAGGCCCACCCATATTATGGGGAGTAATCTGCTCTACTTACACTCTCCTGACTTAAGTGTTAATTACGTCTGTTTCTAAAAATGCATTTTAGTTAAGATTGCATTTCTTTTATTTTAACTCCAGTGTAGTGAACATGCAGCATTATATTAGTTTCTGGGGTCACCTTCCTGGCAACCGGTCCAGACGGGTATTTGACCAAGTAACTGGGTACTGTAGCCTAGTCAAGTTGACACAGAAATTTCACTATCACACCCGCCACCCGCGAGTCTTGGGTTTCCTGAGTGGGGTCCGGACACTTCCAAATACACTTGCCTTTTCTTTCTGTTCTGTTCCCTAGATAGACCAAAAACTCAGCAAACCCTCCCACGACCCAGCAAGAGACCTGATAAGAATTTCCTTTCTTTTGAGAAATCTGAAAAATACTGCCTAATAGAAGTAACAATCAAATAAGAGATAGTCCCATATCCACAGCCCGGAGTTAGACTTGTTTATAGTTTGTCGTATTTGTTCCAAACTGTTTTCTTTCCACAAATAAAGATTCTAAAAAAGACAGTCCTCTTTCCTTCTCAACATTATTCCCATGATTTTCCCCCTTCCAGAACCTTCTGCCCTGAAGTTCGTGTTATTTCTGTGCATGGTTTTATATATTTTTTTTACTACATGGGCATGCCTTTGTAAATAACGTATAGAGTTTGAAATTTTATTTAAATTTGTTTAAATTGAAAGCTTGACTCAAGAATTCTGTCTTCTAGATAAAACTGAAACAAAGCGTCCCAAGACGGTGGGAACAGGAATAGGTAAGAGAGCAGAGCTTCCCGGGACATGCACTCATCCACCCGCAGGATGAGACATCCTTGTGAAGCCACCAGTCATCCACCCTTGGGAAAATTCGTGAGGATGTCTGTCTTCTGGTGGAGCCTGAAGGCTGTGGCTCAGTGCAAGGTCTTTCGAGGTGGGGAGATCACAGGCACAGCTCTGCCTCCTCGGTAGCTGGGCCACTTTGGAAATGGTACTTTAACCCTCTGATGCTCTGCATCTGTAAAATGGGCACCACTGTCTCTCTCCCAGGAGACCTGTAGGTATGAACATAATGTAGTGAGCTCTCTGGCGCGTGGTAGGAACTTGATCAATGGTAGACACACTGAGGCACCAGAACGTGTCTCAGGAGACCATGGGCCCTCTTACCCCTCGCCTCTCCCCAGGGACCCCTGGGATCACCCTCATTGTCATCTCTATCTTTCTCGTCCTCCTTGGAGCCTTCCTCATCTGCAAATACACCCGGTGTGGTGAGTTCGGGAAAACAACAGCTAAATATTTGGGAGGAAACGGGAGAAACAGAATGGGGAAGTAACACCATGGGGCTGATCCTGTCTCTCTTTTGTCCCCAGGGGCAGCTCCTGAGAAGGTGACCAAACGGTAGGGCTGCTCAGCGGATCCCATGAGCCCTACTGAACGTTTCCTCTATTGCTGCCCTGACTACTCAAGACCTTCTCTCTTCCCTCAACAATTCATGTGGCCCCAACCAGCCCCAGCGACCCTCCCAAGTGTCTCTCCATGTCCTCTCTTCTTACGACCACCCTCCACTTCTCACTCTGCATTCTTTCCTTGGGTCCTTACCTCACGGACCACGCTGACCCCAACCACTTCCCATCCTCAGCTCTCAAGACTGGGCTGAGCACCTGAACAACGTGGGGACCACGGAGGGGGGTCAGAGTGTGGAGGAAGTGGGGGGACTTTGGTTTACACATGATCTTGCTTGGCATCTCCCTCCACCTACCCACAATGATCCCCATGTCCCACTCCAACTACCTTTACCTCCAATGCGTCTCGGTTTCTCTCCTTTAGCTCCCACTCTGAGGGACCTGAAGAAGTGAGGACTTGTACTCAGCCTGAGAAAGAAAGCGGTGGTGGGTACACGTGTGTGCGTACTTGTAGGTGTGCTGTGTGCATCCATGTGTGCAGCCTGTGCTCGCGTAAGCGTGTGCATTTGAGCGTGCATGCGAGTGTGCACGTGCGGGCACGCAGGGATGCCTGTGTGCATGTGAACACGTGTGTGCACACGTGCGAGAGCATGCATGTGCAGGCGTGCGTATGAGTGTGCTGCATGTGTACATGTATGGCTTGCACGTTCGTGTGCATGTGGGTGTGTGTGTGGGTGTGCATGCACACACATGTGCATTGAGAGAATACATGTATGTAGGCATGTATGGTTGTGTATGTGTGCTGCACGTGTACATGTGTGGTTTGCACGTTTGTGTGCATATGACCGAGTGTGCGTGCGTGCGTTGAGTGTTCGTGTGTGGACATGCATGTGCGTGCGTGTGAGAGCACACACGGGTGTAGGTGTGCGCACATGAGGGTATGTGTGGTGAGTGGGCGTGTGAGTGTGTGTGTGTGTGCAGACTTAACCCCCAGAGCCTGGGATGAAGCAACAGCACCATGTTTCCCCCTCAGATCCGTCCGCAGCTATGACGAGCAGCTCTCCGGCCTCGGTAAGTCTCCCCTGGGCCATTCCCGTTCCACCCGTAGTCCCAGGCTCTCTGTCACTCCCGCCCTCCGGCTTTGTCAATGGTTTTCGCCTCCGCTTTCCTCCACCCCTACCCTCGCTCTACTGTCCAGGAGAATCTGGTCTGAAATCTTCTGTGGCTTCTCTGGCCAGGGGACCTCCATCCCATGACGAGTCCTTTTGGGGAACATTTCCCCTGCATGACATGGGGTTGACGCTGCTGTTATTATAAACTATCTGTTTCAATCCTGGGCCGATGACCTTCCCGCCCCGAGCCTCTGTGTCTTCATCTGGGCAAAAGGAACAAGGTGCTTTTTATGAAAATATGTGAGCTATTTATGAAAATTCGGCAGCCGCCGACCATGAAGTGGCCACGTAGAACAGCCTGGAGTAGCCCTTGCTTTTGGCATTTACACTCCAATTTTTAAAAAATAGTGGCAAAATGCACATAACACAAAATTCACCATTTAATCAGTACAATTTAGTGACTGTTGGAGTATTCACGATGTTGGGCAAGAATCACCATTATCTAGTTCCAGAACATTCTCATCACCCCAGAGGAAACACCTGTAAGCACACTCTGCATGCCCGCCCCCCCCCTGCCCCCAAGCCCCTGACCGCCACTAGCTTTCTGTCCCTAAGGACGGACCTATTCCGGACATTTCATATTAACGCTCTCTGTGACGGCTGTTTATGCGGATTATCTATGGGTTCAATAACCAATCAGCCCAAACACGCGACTGAGGACAACGCTTACATCTCAGCGGGGTCCACAGGTCGGGAATCTGGGTGTGGCTCAGACTGGGTCCCACAGCCTGGGATCAAGGGGTTGGCCAGGGCTGGTTCAGGCTTCAGTAAGAAAGGGTTTGTTTCCACACTCACTCAGGTGGTGGCTGGCAGGGGTCTGTTCCTCACTGGCTCTCCGCCAGAGACCACCCTGGCCACATGGGCCTTTCCACAGGACAGCTCGTAACACAGCAGCTGGCTCGGTCAGCATGAGCGAGCGACCTGAAAATAGGTGGGAACAAGAGGGAAGTCCTGTCTTTCGTCACCTAGTCTTGGACACGAAGGCACGGGACAGCCCATCCTTTTCACTTATCCTGTTGGACACAAGCATGCCTGTAGGTCCCACCAACCTTCCAGAGGGTAGGGGAACGCACCAAGACTCGAAGAGCAGGAGGCTCTTTCTAACCCAGCTGTCTACCACACTGCTGTCGCAAATGCCAAATCTTCACGACCAACCTCCTCCCCAGGAATACTTGGTTCCTCTTCTCCTTGCTTCCCTTCAGGATAGAGCAGCCCTGGTCTCAAGAGCTGAGGAGCCCCACGGAGTGACTTATGCTGAGCTGAACACCAGAGCCCTGAGCAAGGGTCCCTCCAGCCAGGCGGAGCAGCCTCTGGAAGCCTGTGTGTACTCGACCCTTAAGGCATAGCCAGGGGACCCCAACAAGGGGACGGACGAAGGAAAGAGGACCCTTGAGGCACTCGGTGAATGGGAATCCCTTTCCTCAAATCTCCAATGAAGACTTGTTTCCTTCTTCTAAAAATTTATTTATTTTTAAATGAGAGGCATCATTTGCATAGAGAAAACTGCACAAACTTTGCTAAGTAAAAAGATATGTATATATATGGGATATCGCTACCTATCCCCTTGGGTATAACCACCGTCCAAATAAAAACAGTATTTCTAGCACTCCAGAAGGCTTCTTTGTGCCACTCTCTGGCTAACCACCCTTCCCCCGAGATCATTCCTTTTTCTGACGTGCATCACCTTGGAGGACTTGGGCCCGTTCCTCGCATGAACTCACACCACGCACGACACCACGTGCATTCTTCCACGTGGGCTGCTTCCACGCGAAGACGTTGTTTCTGAGGTTCATTCCGGATGTAGTTACTCGCATTGTACCTCCTTCCCTTTTTACTGATGAGTATTACTCCACCGTGTGTTCATGCCGCAGTTTGTTGATCGGTTCTCTGGTGGGACGCTCGGGTTGTTTCCAGGCTGAGGCTTCTGTGGGTCAGCTTGCACGAACGCTCTTAGCTACGTCTTTGTACGTACAGGTGCGTACGCAGGCCTTTCCCTGGATTATACACACGGGGGCGGCTGGGTCAAAGAACAGGTGTGTGCTTCATTCCATGAGACACTTCTGAACAATCTCCCAGAGGGGTTGTCCCACTTCCTGCTTCCTTCTTCACAAGTGCCCAGTGCCTTTCTTGACTGCCTCCCTTCTGCTCCCACTCCCTTCTCTCCGCAGAACTGCCTCCATGACCCCACACACGTTTGTGGGCTTGATGAGCCTCCACTGTGGCCTGTGACCGCCAATCATTCTCACTCCTGGTATCTGTGCCCCTGTGTGATCCCCTCCCCTGGTTTCGGAGACTTGCTCCTAACTGACAGAAGACAGCAAAGGAGACGGGATGTCACTTCAGCAGTCGTGTTGATAAAGGATACACCCACCACCTGGCCAGCAGGCTCCTTCCTGCCTTCTTGGATTGTGCACTCACACGATGACGTGAGCTCCCCGTTTTGGAGAAGCCCCCTGGGCCAGGAACCGAGAAGAGTCTCTAGCCAGGGAGGAACCGACTCCTGCCAGCACGCATGTGGGCCTGCATTGTATAATAAAGAAGTGGGCTGGTCTTTGTCCTTGGTTCTTGGGAGGTAATCTTGACGCGACGTGCGTGGAACCTCTCGCATGGCAGAAGCATCTTCGTTCTTTGCAGTGGGCGCTTCGTACCACACCCGGGTTTATGTCAGTGAGGTGACCCAGGATGAGGGCTGGTGATGCCAGGAAGACCAACCCTGTAATCACAGCCTTGACCTCTGAGGATGACAGGGGGCTGGAGACAGAGTTGGGCATGTGGGCAATGATTCAATCAATCACATCTGTGAGAGGAAATCCTGATGAAAACTGGGGACATTCGGGGAGCTTGCCTGCTGGTGATGCATCGTGAGGACATAGGAAGCTTCGCTTTGGGGGCTCTCCCAGACTCTCCCCTGTGTGTCTCTTCAACTGGGTGGTCCTGATTAGTATCCTTTATAATAAAAACTATTATCATAAGTACAGTGCTTTCTTGAATTCTTCGAGTGGTTCTAGCAAGTTCATGCACCTGACAGGAGTACAGGACCCTCCAGACTTTAGGACATCAGCTCAGAGCTGCAGGTGCCTCGGGAACACCTGAGCCTGCGGCTCGTGTCTGCAGCGAGGAGGTCTCGTGGGCCCTGAACCCTCAGCCGCGAAGTCTGTGCTGACTCCGGGTGGGTCGTGTCAGGACAGCAGTGCAGCTCGGCAGTCGATCTTCCCCGGCGGAACTTTCAGATCAGACCCCAGCCCTGGCTGACACGGTGACTGGAGCCCACGGGGGATCCCGGTTGCGGTGCTTGGGTTCCTGGCCCCAGAAACTACGAGATCGTGAAGGTGTGTGGCTGAAGCCACCGTACTGGCGGTAAGTTTGTTACAGCAACAGAACACCAAAACGCTGAAACCCTCATGTGCGCCCTCCACACACTGAGTCCGAGACGAGGACGCACCTGCACCACTGCTGGGGAGGCTCCGATGGTTTTCTGGGTTCCAGAAGCTGGGTCCCAACTCTTGCCCCTGCCTCTCCCACCTCTACGCCTTTGCACAAGGGAACCCGCCCCGCTGCCCTCACTCTACATATTTCTAGTTAACTTGCCCCTGCCGCCTGGATTTTACCAAACACGGTTTGGCACAAAGCACACTGGTTCACCTGCATCGTGAACTCAGCAAGTTGGTCAAAATGTAAGTGGATGGGGACTTACATTTGCAAGTGGCAGAGACACACTTTGCTACCTAGAGACAAAATCAGGGAGGGCGGGGAAAGAAAATGGGAAGCTGTCATTTCAGACCTTCTGATAATTTCATTTCCTGGCTAAGAGCAAGCCTGTGAATCACACACAGCTTTTCCAGGAGACAAAAATGATTTGGGGTACAGAGACTGTGGCCTCACGAAAGTCACGGCAAGTAGTGAAGAACGTGGCGCTGGGCCCACGCATGCTGGTTATTTGGGCGCAGTGCTGTGAAGTCTGTTCCAGCAGGAATTGTCTGAGCTCTTCTGCTGACACGCAAATGTACCCCACGACACCGACCTCTGCTCATGGGATGAAACCCACTGGTTAGTAGGGTTGCTCTGTAACCCCGGATCCGAACTGTCCTGGAGGGCTCTGTGCCAGCTTCTCAGCATAATTTACTGGTAAACATTGGCACGATGATTGAAACCAGCTCCTGTGAGACCCTCCGGAGGGCTCTGCCGCTGGGACCAACATCATGCCCATCATGGAATAGGAGACCCCAGCCAAGGACCCATGCTGGGTTTCCGGGTTCTGGGGGCTTTGCTAGTGATGCCTGCCTCAAGAAAGAAAGTCCATCTAGGAAGTTGTGTGGAAGGAGAGAGATCCTTTCTGCCTGGGGTACACACTCCCACTTCAATGCCAGGCAGCTGCTCTCCTGTATTCTTCTCCAGCCGCACTCGGTGTTTGGGTCACACACGCCTGCTTGAGCAACTGAACCTCATTGGCAGAGTCAGCGGAAGAAATGTCAGGTGGGGCACCCAGCTGCCGCACTCAGTGGAGCATGTGACTCCTGATCTCAGGGCTGTGAGTTCGAGACTTGCGATGGGCAGGAAGTTCACTTAAAAAAAAAAAAAAGAGGGACGCCTGGGTGGCTCAGTTGGTTAAGCAGCTGCCTTCGGCTCGGGTCGTGATCCCGGCGTCCTGGGATCGAGTCCCGCATCGGGCTTCTTGCTCATCGGGGAGCCTGCTTCTCCCTCTGCCTCTGCCTGCCGTTCTGTCTGCGTGTGCTTGCTCTCTCTCCCTCTCTCTCTCTGACAAATAAATAAATAAAATCTTTAAAAAAGAAAAAAAAAAGAAAAAAGGAACTATTTGACTGTAGTCCTTAGCTCTTAAGACAGTGGGCAATGTTGGGGTGCCTGGGTGGTTCAGACGGGGAAGCATCTGCCTTCGGCTCAGGACACGATCCCAGGTTCCTGGGATGAAACCCATATCAGGCTCCCTGCTCAGCGGGGAGCCTGCTTCTCCTTCCTCTTCTGCCCCTCCCCCCGCTCACACTCTCTATCGCTCTCTCTGTCTCAAATAATAAAATCTTAAAAAAAAAAAAAAAGTGGGCAATGTCTAGCAACCTGTGTGTCCAGGATTTTCCGATCTTCTCAACAGCAGAGTACCTTCATGTCCTCTGAGGAACCCTCTAGACTCAAGCCTCAGGCACTTGGTGGGAGTCACACATTTGACCCCTGATGTCTGAGACCGAGGAGGACTTGCTGTGAGCCACCGCCTTGGAGCTCAGTGTGTAAGAAATATGTTGTAATCAGCAAGTCCAACACTGTTTTCAGACACAGTGTGGAAGGAGGAAGTGAAATTCAGAAAAATCATTACTTCCCATGCTCTAGACACAGGGCAAGGCTGTGGCCGGCCCAGTTCCTCGCCCATCTGCGGACGGCAAATCCAGCAAGGCATCGAGAGGCTGACAGGGACGTGCTGCCATGATCTCTAAGCTAGTGACACTCCTCTGTCTCAGTAAGTATCCCGGGGAAACATGTTGGGACCATAGAAAACAACAGAACTGGTACGAGGTTTGGACTGAGGACAGGAAGAGAAAAGGTAACACCAACTTGGGTTTATCGAGCGAATACTATGAAACAGAAATCTCGTGGAGTGTGATGTGTCTGTCACCTCTGAACCGAGGCTTTGGAAATCTCACTCTTGTTGCAAGTTCATGATTTCTGCTAAATGCCTTTGCTACCTGGTCTTATTGGCTTAATCGGTTTTGTTTTTCATACAGAGTCAGCCTTTTGTGCTTAAAGCGAAGTGCTTAGAATACAAACCCTCCATACTATGAATAAAAATCCAGGTCAAATACAAGAATTATAAAGTAAACGCAACAATAAGGAAACAATGTTAAGATATTATAACTACACGCGCTGGTCCTCGTCAGCTTCCGAGACTGAGACCTGCTAGTTCTTTGCTATAAGGGCAATTAGCCACGGGGTGCCTGGGAAGCTCATCGATTAAGCATCCGCTTTCAGCTCAGGTCATGATCCCAGGGTTCTGGGACTGAGTCCTGCCTCAGGCTGCTTGTTCAGCGGGGAGCCTGCTTCTGCTTCTGCCTGCTGCTCCCCCTGCTTGTGCGTGCTTGCTCTCTAACAAATAAACAGTATCTTAGTATAAAGGCAATTAGCCACAATCCATATGTATCAGAGACTAGATTCAAGGAGGCTTGCTTTTTCTTTTATTTTTAAGATTTTACTTATTTATGACAGAGAGAGAGAGAGCGAGCGAGCATGAGCAGGGAAACATCAGGCAGAGGGAAAGGGAGTGGGAGAGGGGGAAGCAGACTTCCTGCTGAGCAGGGAGCCCAATTCAGGGCTAGATCCCAGGACCCCAAGATCATGACCTGAGCCGAAGGCAGACGTTTAACGACTGAGCCACCCAGGCGTCCCTCAAGGAGACTTTCTTGGTGACAAATCGAAGCTGTACAGGAGTGCTTCCTGCATGTGATCATTCAGTGCCTTTTTTTTTTTTAAGATTTTATTTATCTGATAGAGAGAGAGATCACAAGTAGGCAGAGAGGCAGGCGGAGGGGGAGGGAAGCAGGCTCCCTGCTGAGCAGAGAGCCCGATGCAGGGCTCAATCCCAGGACCCCGAGATCATGACCTGAGCCGAAGGCAGCGGCTTAATCCACTGAACCACCCAGGCGCCCCCCAGTGCCTTTTTAAATAAAAAAGATTTATTTATTTAAGAGAGAGTGCTCATGCGCGCATGCGAGAGTTGGGGGAGGGTCAGGGGGAAGAGAGAGAGAGAGTCTCTCAAGCAGGTTCCACCCTGAGCACAGAGCCCTGTGTGGGGCTCAATCCCAGCACCCTGAGATCAAGACCTGAGACAAAACCAAGAGTCCAAAGCTTAACTGTGCCTCCCAGGGACCCTCATGTACTGCTTTGACTGTCCTTCCTTCCACCTAAAATCATCACACAAAACACGGATGGGAGGTATTCCTCATTTGGGGAATAACACTCTGACCCATCCCCCTCAAGAAACCCCAAAAACCTCCGAGAGAGAACGAGGTCCACTTTTACAAATGAGGAATCGCACTCGAAGAGATTTGCCTTGGACTGCGCAGACTTGCCCCTGTGCCAAAGGGCAGCCAAATCTCAGCCCAGAGCTGCTGAGCTCCAAAAATGTTTCCACTCAGCCATGACGTTAAACCAAGAGGGACACATGCACGGGGTCCACGGTATGGAGCACTTGAGGCGTGTCTGGAAGGACTCTAGGCTGGAAAAAGCCTGAGGATGTAGAGAGGGGTGGTTCAGAACGTCCCCAGTTACAGGGCTGGAACTGTACCTCAGAATGAACTGGTTTCCAGAAACCAACAAAGGTCATAGCCACAAAACGTCAGGGGACGAGGACTCACCTCCGTGTGGCCCTCTGCACTCAGCTTCCTGTTCTGGCCACGGTTCTCTGATCCTGAGACCTCAGGCTCCTCCCCGGAGCGCCCCTGACGCCAGAGGCTCGCCTCGGGAAGACCCAGCTGCTTGTGTGCAGAGAGAAGGCAGGGACACGGCGACCACCACCGAGTTCTGAGGACCCCGCTCCCGCACACAGTCCTTGTGGGGCCTCAGGGAACACATGCCCATCGATGCAACTTCCCTCATCTTTTGGAATTACTTTCACAGTCAGGTTCAAGCATGCACGACCAGTCCCTGCTCAGAAAGACGCTCTTTTCATGTTTACCATTCCTTGCATCGTTCATTCTCCTCTGGCCGAGTGAGACGCTGATTCCACTCGAGCCCGTCTGGAGAGCTTCCCTGGACACGCGTATGAGACTTTCTTTCCTTTTCGTGGCTGAGGACTATGCTGCTTATGTATGGGTCCCGTTTGATCTGCCCACTTGCTGGTGGTCCCCTGGCTTGTTTCCACCTTTCGAAGGTTCCTGATCTTCCTCACGAAAATGAGATTAATCTTTCCTTTTTTTTTTTTCTTTTCAAAGATTTTATTTATTTATTTGACAGAGAGACAGAGAAATCACAAGCAAGGGGAGCAGCAGAGGTAGAAGGAGAAGCTGGCTTCTTGCTCAGCGGGGAGCTTAATGCGGGACTCGATCCTAGGACCCTGGGATCATGACTTGAGCTGAAAGCAGACACTTACCCCACTACACCACCCGGGCATCCAGGATTAACCTTTTCTTTTTCATGTTGTCTTTGAGAAATAGTGAGTCTCTCCTAGTGGACTTCCTGTTGTTCCCCTAAGCAACGAAGTTTCTGAGCTGAAGACTGAGAGAAGATGAGATGAGATAGGCTGGGCTGAGCTGTGCTGTGCTGGGGCCTGGGAGCCCATGATGAGTCCCATGTAACCTGAGGGTATGTCCCACCACCAATGACCCAGCTCTGCAAAGCCCTGAACCCGCTTTGAGCTACCAGAGCACAGGCCATGGAAGGGGTTAGACCCGTGTTTCTGAAAGATTCCTTTTTACCCCATATGGACCAGTTTTGTGCCTTGGAAGTGAAAAGGGGGATGTTACCAGGTCTTTGTGCTAAAACTGCCTCCCTACCACCAAAGTTCTCTGATCCCAAGACGTCAGGCTGCCCCAGAGAGCGTTCCTTACATCAGCTCCTACATCCCTCACAACACCTCCCTCAAAGGCGTTGGGACCTGAGTGTCTGGGCGAGTGCAGGAGAGGGCTGATGGAGGAGGTTTTGCAAAAACTCTGAATTTTCTTTTTTAAAGATTTTATTTATTCGACAGAGAGAGATCACAAGTAGGCAGAGAGGCAGGCAGAGAGAGAGGAGGAAGCAGGCTCCCTGCTGAGCAGAGAGCCTGATGTGGGGCTTGATCCCAGGACCCTGAGATCATGACCTGAGCCGAAGGCAGACACTTAACCCACTGAGCCGGCCCCAACTCCAAATTCCCACAGGCCTCAGAATGCCCCATGAGCCAAGAGTGCGCCCACTCGGACTTCCCAGCCCTGACCACAACCCCCCCGCAGTGTCCATGCCATCGGGAATTTATATTCAGATGCCCACTTCCTCTGGGCATCTCACACAGCCCAGAGACGTCCTGCGTCCCTAAGAACTTACAGGCGCTTGCAGGGTCGTCCGCAAGCTCGTGCTCTTCCCTTGCTCTCCGCCGCAACACGAGGCTGCTGTTCACAGATGGCTCTCACCTGCTGTGCGGAGAGAAGGGACCCCCACTTCCCACTCAGCGCGGTCCGTCAAGAGGGCACAGGCTCTGTGCCACAGGTTCCTCTTCTTCTTGACCAAGCATGGCAGGATGAACGAAGATCTGGGCTCCCAGGGCTTTGGTGCTCAGAGAACAGGCTCGGCCCAGAGTTCAGGTCATGCTGCTTCCCAGGCACAGGGCGGGGGGGACCTCTAATACATTCGGGTGTCCACCGATGCGTGCTCTGCCCACCTTTTTCCTGTTTCCGTTCTCTGTGGATTCACTGACTGCGAGAGTTTTCAATACCCTAAACACACCCATTATGCTCCCCATTTTATTGTAGCACATTACACATAAATAACATTTATCCTCTTAACTCTCTGTATCTGGTCGGTGGCACTTAATGCATTCACAATGACGCACGCCTTCACCCGAAACCTTTTCATCATCCCCAACATAAACTCTGCACTCGTTAATTGAAAAGCGTTCTTCCTCTCTTTCTCCCCAGCCCCCTGATATCTTCTGGTCTATGTTCTGTCTGCATGAATTTGCCTATTCTAGGTACTTCGTGTAAGTGGAATCATACAATATTTGCCCTTCTGCGTTTGGCCGATTTCACACAGAATAATGTTTTCCAAGCCCACTGGTGCTGTGGCATCTATCAGAATTCCATTCCTCTTTACGGCAGAATCGTCCTCCCCTGTCTACAGACACACACACACCTGGTCTCTGTCCACGTGTCCGCTGGTGGATGCTTGGGTCTCTTCAACTTTTGGCTCGTTATCGCTTTTTCAAAACGTGGAGAGTAATATTTTTGATTGGTCCATGCAATTTTAACACAAAGGTAACTCCCCCCCCTTTACACAACTAAGACACAAAACTGTTTCACACAGGCAAAAAAAAGTAAATTTCTTAGAAACATAGGTCCAACCAAGTATCTGTGGACTGAGAGCAATCTCTCTCTTCCGGTAAATTCTGTAAACAGGCTTATCTTTATTGTTATCTTTAACAAGATCTTAGAACTCAGGCCAAACTCTAACCACCACAATTGGGCAATATTGGTGGTGCCCGTGGGGGTCAGAGAGGCTCATGCCCACCATCGCTTCCAAGTCTCTCTCTAGGACAACGGATTTCGAACTGTGCTGCAGCCTTGAGAAATGTTTTTCTAGGTTTGGTCACTCAGGGGAATACTTGTACCTCCCTGGAAATTTCGCAAGTTTGGTGCCTGAGCCCTATCCCAAGTGACTGGGATTCGAGGCTTTCATGCTTTGGTCTGGGCCCTGGGCTCTCTAAGCACCCCCGCCCCCCAGGGGAGCACAATGTGCAGCCAAGGCCAGGAGGCACGGGGTGGGGTACCCTACAGACGGACCCAAGCGTGGGACAGCGGAGGAGGCAGGTTCTCCCCGTTCTGGGATGTCCACGGGGATTCTCTGAGGCTTGTTTGAGAGGACAAAGCAGTAACCTCTGTCCTACTTGGAGTACCAAAAGATGGAAAGAGATCATGGCAAAGATGGGATCAGAACCTCACCAGATTGAAGGCTGAGGCTGACTTAACTGGCCTTGTCCAGGGACAGAGCTCCCTCCGTCTCTGAGCCAGCCCCGACTCCCACGTGGACGTGGGTGACCCGGTGAGGTCTGGAAATGGAGCTGGCCTGGCGGGAGGAGGATGGGGAAGGTAGGGAGACGCTGCCTCTCGTCACATCCTCGGAGAAGCTGTGTTTACGCGCGCATCTCATCAGCCCGTCAGCGTGCGTTTGCTGAGGTCCTCCCGTGTGCCGGGACGTGCACAGATGCTGGGCACGCCGAGGGGAAGGACACAGGCCCCGCCGGCCAGCTGCTCACAGGCGGTGACGCCCGTGGCCCCGAGGTGCGAGGCGCACAGCTTCTGTGAGCTGAGTGGTCAACTGTCACCGCGGCACCCGTCAGCCCTCGGCAGGCTGCTCCCGGCGCGCGGGACACTGTCAGCAGACCCTCGTGCCGCGCAGGGTCTCCAACCACTCCAGAGGTGGGCTAGGCTCCCACTCCAGTCCTGTGCTCCCACATCTTTCCCACGGTTCCTGCCTTCTACCCCCCAAGGGTGAGGTGCGGGCAGTCCACAGACTGGAACACCGGCTCGAGAGAAACGCAAGACGGAGAGTGGCTCAGGGCGGAAGCTGCGAACAGAGGGGCTTGCGGACATCCGGGGAACCAGGACAGCTCCTGGGGCCGTGGGAGGAGCGAGCTGCACAGGAGACCTTCTGCGAGAAGCGGGGAAGGAGCCGAGAGCAGAGCTGGAGCCACAGGCCAGCGTGGCGAAATGAGAAGCCCCAGAGGCCTGACCTCCAGGGTCCCTTCTCAGCGGCAGCCCCCGGGAGGCCCCGCAGGACGGGCCCCGGGTGGGTGCTCGTGTCTCATGGACGGTTCTGTTGCAGGGCTGTGTGCTGGCCAAGGAAGCAGGGGGACCAACGGTGAGATCCCTCAGACAGATCCTCCTTCTCCTTCACTCCAAACTCCCCGTATCACTGCTCTTTCCTTCAAGGGGTTTCTCGGGAGCAGAAAAGGGCACCAAACCCCATCCTGATCTCTGCTTCCTTCCAGAGTCCCTTCCCAAGCCCTCCCTCAGGGCCTGGCCCAGCTCGGTGATGCCTCCCTGGAGTAACGTGACGCTGCAATGCCAGACTTCTACCAAGAATGCCAACTTTGTTCTCAGCAAGGGAAAAGTTCCTTTGGAGTCTGGGCAATCATGGATTTCCACAGATGGGCCGGCTGAATTTCACCTCACTGACCTACAATTCAGCAATGCTGGAAAGTACACCTGTGAGTACTACAGACGGGGGGCCCCGAGCACACGTTCACAGCCCAGTGACGTCCTCCTACTACTGGTGACAGGTGAGGAGGGTGCCTCGGAGGGACACAGGGTCTTGCAGGGACAGGTGTAGGGGAGGAACCGAGGGAGGGAGGGGGCAAGGCGAGACGGAGAGACACAGAACAGAAAGAGCCAGGGCTTGAAAGGGAAATCGCCTTCCCGCTGTCAGAGTGGAAAGAGGGTGAGACCAGGGATCTGTCACTTCCCCCACGTGGCGGGAGCCCCTGCCGGGAGAACAAGGGTAGGTGGGGGATGCAGGGCTTCTCCCCATGACCTTGGAGCCCTCCTTCTCTTCCAGGAAATTTTCCTAAACCTTCCCTGCAAGCCCACCAAAGGGGTGAGGTGACCGCAGGAGACACCGTGACCCTGATGCCAGACGGCAGCCAATGTTTACGAGACTATAATGTTTGCTCTACTGAAGGCGGGAGCAGCAGGGCCCGTTCAGCTCCAGGGTCCAGTAGAGAAGGAGACGGACTTCTCCCTCCAGAATGCGACAGCTGGTGACACCGGGAACTACAGCTGTGTGTACTTCCAGACCAGCGCTCCTTTCTGGGCCTCCAAGCCCAGCAATCATCTGGAGATCCGGGTGACAGGTGAGGTTTCGTATGATTTTCTTAGGGCATTTTAAATTTTTAATTAATTTCCTAATTAGTTTCTTCTTATTTTGACTATTTTATTGGCTTTCTTGAGTTTTCTTGACCTATAACTGACTTATAACACTGTGTTAATTTAAGGTGTGCAACATTTTTTTTTAACCGGAAAACATTTCTTCTGTTACTTTCGGATTCCTGTTTCTCCTTCGCCTTCCTGGTCATCTCCTTTTTAAACCTCTCCTTTCCTACTTTCTAGTCTTTGGCCTTTGTTGCTTGGCCTTCTTGGAGACTTTCTCAGCTTGTTCTTCCAAACGACCCATCCCGCCCCCACCAGAGCCCCTTCTGCCACCCCGGGCATCCCCGAGAGCTGTGGTCCATCCTGCTGACGGCAACTTCATGGCAGTACCTCTCTCAGTCTTGGAACACGCTGCTCCCCGGCCACCTGCTGTCGTGACACAGCTGCAGAATCTTCTAAACTTGCTTCTTCAGGGGAGGCTGAGCCCACGTCCTCGGCCTTGTGCATGTTTGCGTGTGCACTGTGGTCGGCGAACCTTCTGTAGTTAGGACGCAAGGTCAGGGCGGGCAGTGCCGAGAGGTGCAGAGGGCATCCTGGGCCTAGCGGTGTCCTCACGGGCCTCTCCCCACGGACTCTGTCTCCGGGGAGCGTTGCTGCTGATGGGTTCAGACGCGAACTCTGCGCTCCTGGCGTGTGTGAGCTGGAGGAGTCAGATGCCGGTTCCCTCTGGGAACCAGGGCCAATGGCGAGCCCGAGCTCTTCCTGGGTGAAGCTGAAATGAAACGCACAGTGGTCCCGACGCCCAGCTACTAAGCTGGAATTTTCTTGGGCTCACTGGCTGCACAGAATAAGTCTTTGCTATGAGAGCAATAAGGAGGGGAGCAGACGCAGCCCCTGAACGACCTCCATTCTCTGTGCAGCAACGGTGGGTTTTGGGGTTGCTGCTAAGCCTGGTTCCTACTAGGAGGAGGGAGAAGGGGAAAGGGCAGTGCAGGAGGGTGGAAATGAGATGACGATCAAGGACAGGAAGGGGGAGCGGTAAGGCAGAGAGACTGGGAAGGAGACCAGGGAAGGGCCACTACAACTCTCCGGAAATCCCACGTTGTGTTGAGTGACGACAGCGTCAGGGGAGGTAGAGCTGAGCACTGACCAGGAAGCGCCAGCGGGTGCAGGACAGTCACACCGGGCAGGTCCTCGCGAGGAGGGTTGCTCCTTTCCAGCTGCTGCTCATCCTCTCCTCTCTCCCAGCTCCCCCAGGGGCCGCGTCCCGGGATTACACCTCGGGCAACCTCATCCGACTGGGTCTGGCTGCCGTGACTGTGGTGATTATGGGGGCTCTCGTGGCGGAAGCCTGGTGCGGCCAGAAGGAGTCTCCACGTGCATCCACATAAAACAGCTGAGCGCGTCTCTTCTTTGGGCTGGTGTCGCGACACGGGGCTCTCTCAACACCAGACTCCACCATGGGACTTCTTGTGGTTCTCAACGTAGACACAGACGGCATTTTGGGTGGGACAGTTCTTCATCACAGGGGACTGTCCTGTTTGTTGTGGGAACACTTAGCACCACTTCTCATTCCCATTAAAGAGCAGTTGAAGCCCCAGTCATCGTGGAAGAAGATAGCAAACAAGTTCTATTGTGCTTTTCCCAACACCCCTAGATGTGGAGGACGGGAGTGGGGTGGTGTTGTCCTGGTGGACAGCCTGCATGAGGAGGCCAGGGAAATAATATTCTTCCTCTTCCTCCCTCTCCTGGCCTCAGGTCTGTACTGCCCACATGCCCCTGGCTGCCTAGGAAGGATGAGCACTGGCGGGGAGCCCTGTGGATTCTGAGTCCCACGGAACCTGCACTCTTCGCTCTATGAAGAACCACTCGCGGACGAGACTCACCTTCCCTCCTGCTGCAGCTTCGCCTGGGGCTGAGGACAGGCTGGAGCCTAAAGATGCACCTCATAAACTTGGAGGACCTGAAAAAATGCTTAAAGCTTCAGAGTCAGGCTGGGTAACCTGTGTCGTCACTTCTGTAGGAACTGTCATTCCACTGAAAAGTGGGGAAAACACTGCTACCCACATATCCATTACTGACTCCTCTCCATTCTCTATTTCGTGCTTCTGGACCAATGAGTCGGGTATTTAAACTTCCGTACTCATCGCACGTGTCTTTCGACTTTGATTTCCCAGAGTCCCAACATTCCACCTCATTTGGGAGACTTCCTCTCAGTTTCTGGCACCGAGCTGCCCCCGAGGTGCGCCCACATGTCTCATTTCCTGGTGCAGCTGTAAAATGTTCCATAGTATTTTCATGTTCAAGATCTGTTGTTTGTCAATAATCTTGTTCTTTTTCACAAATACCCCTTCTTATTTTAGAGCTGGTATCGCCTCCCTTACAACCCGAGAGAGACGCTCATAAAAACCCAGCTCTGATAAGAGTAGAAACGGTTCTTGTGGATGTAATTCTACAGTGCGTCTTCTTCCTTTCGTTACGCCGGCTTTCCACAGATCGTGGCTGACCCTCCTTCGGGGTGCTGGAGGCAGGCAGGAGCTCCTCCCGGGCTGTGCATCTCATGGCAGGCTTTCTCAGGGTGGACACTCAGGGAGGTTCAGGCAGCTGTTCAGTATTTCTCCCCCTTCCACCCAACGAGTAGTAAAACTCAGGGTTCCTCCCGGGTTCCTCCTTGCATTGCTATTGGTCACGAGTGGTCGAAATGGACAGAACTCTGGCTTTACAGCCGGCACAGGCCGGCACACCGGATGCCAGCTGCTCGGTCTATAGCCGCGTCTTGCCGCAGTCTCCGGACACCGTGGCCACTGATGGTTCGTGATGTGCCCATTCCCTCACGTGTGACTGCCCACGGCTCCTTCGGACTGTGTCTCCTCTTCCGTCAGATCCTACTTTTACTTTGAAATCGTTCAATTTCCAGGAAGTTGCAAACTCAATGCAGATACTGGCACCCTGGACCCAGTTTCTCCGATGGCGCCGTTGTATGTCCACCACAATATGAAAACCAAAGAGTTGACCCTAGGACAGCATGTAGGGTTCTAGGTCATTCTATCATGTTTAGATTTGTCTGGCCACCGGCATAATCAACATACGGGCACAGTCTCTCACCATGACGATGTCCCTCACGGTGTGGCTTACTATCACACCCAACCTCTCCCCCCAACACCACTGTGACCACGGGCTTGTTCCCTACCTTTAAAATTTTGTCATTTTCAGAATGTTCTACATCCTACTACCTGGTTTTCACTTCCTCAATGTGGGCGTGACACAAAAACGTGTGGGTCACATAAGAGGAAGGAAGGGAAAAGCTGGAGGAAAGAGGTCACCGCCCACACTAAGCTTCTCTCCACCCGGTGACCGCAAAGCTGAAGAGGGGTCCTTATAGCAAGCAGCAGGAACAGGGCCATGATTGTGGTGATTAGTAGGAACTTTGGTAAGTTCCTTAAGATTGAGGGTTCAATTTGAGGGTGGGGTTCCAGAGGAGAGTGGACTGACACACTGAGAGACATGAAGAATGCAGAAGAAACAATGCCGGCTTGTGTTTGCGGACTGCCTCACACATGTCAGGACCCACGCTCGAGTTTTCTCCAACATTCACATAGGTACATTCCACATTCGTGACGTGCGCCGTGCCTAGATCACCTTCGCTTATTTAATGATTGACTGACAGTGAGTCAACATTTTTTCTTTAAATAAAGGTATTTATTTGAAAATAGAAACTACTTAGCAATAGTTGAGTAATGCAGGGTCACCACCTATGTTAATGCAGGGAATTAACATAAACATAGAATACTATGGAAAAACAGAAAATGTTAGGACATTTTAGCCTTTTGTGGTTGTTATGCTTCTGACCCCATGGCTGACCACTTCCTAGCTATAAAGGGTGATAAGCCAGAGAGAAAGTTGTTCTAAGTCCACCATAAATGGAACTTCTCCCCTTGATGGGATCAGAAGGGCTTGACTGAAAGGGTAATAACTTTCCGATGCTGTGACCAAAATTATAGGGCACTGTGCCACCATGTGGCCTAAAATCACCTCCTCGGGCACCTGTGGTTCATATGCCACCCCGAGGGAAACACCACTCTGACCCTTGCAAACAGTCCTGCGTGGTGGGAATTAGGCCCAGGGGTCAAAGAAGGACCCTGAGACCGACAGCTGAGGGCTCCTGCTCAGGGCCGCACGGAGAATGAGCAGAACAGGCAAAACACAAGCCCAGCCTGCCTGCCTCTAACGTCACGACTGCTTCCACCAGCTTATACCAAGAAATTAAGATGGATACACGTATGGTGTCTTCAAAACAGAAATGCCCTTGGAGTGACCGAACAGATGCTGACAAGGGGAAATTCTAGAGACATAAAAGAGGATTAGCTCATCATGGCAGGTGAAAGACCTGTCACAAAAGGCCACATGCTATACACGATTCCATTCATATGAAAGTCCAGAATAGGGAAACCCACAGAGAAAGCAGGTTACTGGTTGTTTAGGGCTGCAGATGCTGGGGAGAAGAAATACAACAGAAGTTGAAAAGTAACGGGGTATCATTTTGAAGCCATGAAAGTGTGTTAAATTTGACCGTGTGAAGTTTGCACATATCTGTGAATGTAGGAAAGCCCATGAATGGCGTAGTAAAAGGGCAAACTATATGGCATGTGAATTACATCTCGATAAAGTTGTTTTAAAATTTCCTGGGTGTGGGGCACCTGGGTGGCTCTGTGGGTTAAAGCCTCTGCCTTCGGCTCAGGTCATGATCTCAGGGTCCTGGGATCGAACCCTACATCGGGCTCTCTGCTCAGCAGGGAGCCTGCGTCCCCCTCTCTCTCTGCCTGCCTCTCTGCCTACTTGTGATCTCTGTCAAATGAATAAATAAAATTAAAAAAAAAAAATTCCTGGGTGTGAAACAGGGTACAGCTCAGGATGTCTGTTTGCAGGTGCCAAAACCCCTCATTTCCTCAGACAAGGATAGCGTGTGGTTCTTGGCTCGTATTTGGGCACCATGACTATAGATCTGAGTTCTTACCACATTTCTCTGAACCCTAGACTCTAGGATAGTCTATACGGCTCTTTACTTCAGAACCCCACCTTGGGAAAATGAAAAGTATTCTGTTGTTAAGCCTTCTGTTTGTGTTTCCAGTAAAGGAGGAATCGGATGTGTGTCTTGGGAGCCTCCACGCCTGCACATGCTGGTCGAGTGTCTCTGAAATACATCCATGGTGCTGGGGCTTGGTTTCCTTATCCACACAGTGAGGGCAACGACGAACGTCTGCAGGCCCACTGCAGTGAGTAGAGGCTGTGCACGCACAGGAAGATTACTGTTACTCCCATGGCGGAAGGAATCCTTCTGCCACCCCCCTCCCTGGCTCAGGCGCTATTTCTGCTGGAAATCCCCCATGGAGAACTCCCCATCATCGGTGAGTGAAGCAAGCACATCCCTTTGCCCTCCTCTGTCCTTGACAGAACGTGTGCCCTGTCATCCAGCTCCAGGCACCCGCCCCTGGTGAGGTAAGACTTCTGAGAGCGTCTCCTCTCATCACTGTGTAGGTGACGTGCAGAGCTGACATGAGACGCCAGTCAGACAAGAAGCCAGGAGGTCCAGAGCGTGTCCAACCAACATGTTCTCCCAGCCACGCTGGCTGAAGCCCTCAAGCCTCCGAGAGACACCCAACTCGGGAGGCGGTGGAGGGTCCCGGTGCCCCCTCAGCAGTGTCTGCAGGGGTGCGTGAAGGCAGGTGTTGAGCAGGCAGGGACTGAAGAGGTCTGGAGGTTTCAGAACCCTGAATGGTCCTTAGCTGGGAGATGGCACATTGAGGGCACTGAATTCTGGTAGGAATTCACTTAAAATTACTTCATGATGCTTTATGATGATGTTTTTCTTAACTAAGTTTAATTTACAGTTAAGCTGGGTTCTCACCCCCGAATTCCTCCCTTTGCTCTGATTTTTCCAACAACTATGAACAACTTAAAGTACCTTCGAATTCTTTGACTCTAAAATATCACACTCGCTCCCACAGGTAATCCTACTTCATCGCTAACTCTGCTCACTTTGCTCTGTGCACTTGCAGGAGGTTGTCTGATGTAGGCCTACCATCTACCTACTTTCAGCAGCATCGGAAGGGGCACATATCCTGCTCAGTGGGGAAGGGTCTGTCCTGGGAGTTCCACCCATTCTGCAGGGACTGGGCAGGAGGCACAAAGGTTCAGGCCCCCAGGGCTTTGATGCACAGGGCCCAGGCTCCGTCCAGAGGTGCGGGTCAATGCTGCTTCCCATGTGCAGCTTCCGAGTGGATTCGGGTCTCCACACGCCTCTGCTGTCTCTGTAGTTGTCCTTTTTCCATTTCCTGGTTTCTCTGACTTTGCAATAACATTTCTTCACATACCTCAGCACATGTCCACTACCTTCCATTTTCTCAGACTACAGATTAAATTTGCATGAGGTATGCATGTGTTTGCACCTAAAAGTCCTAATAACTTCTCACTTTCCCCCTGAAACATCAAACTGTTCCTCCATACAGGAGAAAGAAAGGAAATTTCTGTTCTTGGAATCACAGGGATAACTAAACCCCTACTCCTCCTTGTTAACATAATATCGTCACTACAATAACATTCAGGTACAGGCATGTCAATTTCCAGGCAATTTTAGCACTCAGGCCAAAGTATCCTCCTCGCATGGATACTCCACAATGATAGTATCACCCTCCTCTACCCCAAACTGCATCTAATCTAGCCACTTATTCTACAGCCTGCGTTACATGTTCTAAATTGCTGCACCTGAGAGAGGAGGCAGTAACCGTGGGGAAGACTGGTGACGGGGTCTGACTCTAGCCACCTCCTGCCATTACCCAAGGCCATCTGGCATAAAGTGACCAGGAATCTTCTCCCTCAATAACAGCTTATATCCCATGGGTGATTCCTTTACAGGGCCTGGCCAAAGGGACACCACAGATGGTGAGTGTTTTTTCTTATTTAGATGCTACTTGTTTTTTCATCCAAAATTCCCCATCCTTCCCTTCTCCTTCTTTAAGGGGAAAGTAAGGTGTGTGCGTAATCTGACTTGCGCTCTACTCCTTTCCAGGGTCGCTTCCCAAGCCTTCTCTCAGTGTCTTCCCCAGGTGGGGGATATCTCCCAAGGGCAACGTGATTCCCGAGTGCTCAGCTCTCACCAGGAAGGTAAAATTTGTTTTCAGAAAGGAAAGCCGCTCTTGGATCCCATGTAGCTACCCAGTTCTACAGGGATCTACAGCTAAAATCTACCTCTTTAACCTGAGTCACAGTGATGCCAGGGAGTCACCTGCGAAGATTCCACGGAAAAGGCCCCTTTCAGACGCTCTCCAGCCGTACCTCTGTACTGATGGCTACAGGTGAGGAGGGGGTGCGTTAGGAC